CGTTGCAGGTAGACATGTATATTACCTCTTTGAGCAGACACATAAACATTAAAGCAAGTTTATTGAACTTGTATAATGTTTTCAGTTTGTATAATGTTTAGTTAGGAGCATAGGCAATGAAGATACAGAAAATAGAAATTTGTTTTTAGTCATAATCATGGAATTTAATTTCACTGGGTTTTCTTATAACTTAGAAACAGTTCTGAAGCGGAAAATTTTCACTTTGTAGACATTTATAAATTTATTCCTCAGAAGGGAAAACTTAGGGAATTCTAGTTACCTCTGTTTTTTAAAAAAAATTCTACTTACTGTTTCTTTCACTGTAAAGAAAAGCTTAGCAAGTATGTTGACCACTCTATGTTTATAAAGCTAAAATTTATGATGACCCACAAGAAGCAAAATTATAAATTACAAAAATAGCAGGTGGGGAAGCAAGTTAAATGGGAAAATGGGTGAAGCCTCTGGGTGACAGCAAAGCGTTTCTCTCGTTTCTCAGTGGAAGAAAAAGTGGACAGTGTAAAACAAAGTATGTGGCAGGATAAACTTTTGCCTTGGCATACACTTTCGTCACCTTTGCAGATTTCTTATCAGTTTTTCAAATTTGTAGAATGATGTTATATTGCAAATTTTGGTGAATCCCTATAAAGATTAAATGGGCAGGAATACCAACTGCTTGGCGGAACCCTGGCTTGTAATTTAATTTCACCTTTGTTGTGTTTTAAGCATAGATCTAAGAGCTATCCAGGCTTTATCTTCACAATAACCCACAATTGTGGCTAAATAAATTACAGGTCAGAGATGTTAAATAAGAATGTAATTAAAGCTATACCACTATGTTGCATCCCTAGGATTTTAACACAGGCGTTGTGGCCTCAGAATCCACTCTTAACCCATTGTATTATTTCTTATATTCCAATAATGTTGATTAAAATAGAGTAAATACTTTGCCATAGGAACAGTTAGGTATTAATACTTCTATGGACTCACAGGCTCAAATTAATATGTATGTTCAGTATCTTAATACAAATTTCTGTAATGTGCAAGGATTTGTTATGTGGCCTCCAGAGACAGCCGACTTCGTTACATTTTTGAAAGCAAATCATTTAATTATTAGATAACCCCATATGTAAGCAATTCTCCTGATGTTGTGATGAAATCTTTACCCTCTTGCCAATTGGTTTTAATTCTGGCCCATGTGTAAACAGTAGGTGGATAGCTCTCACATCAGATGTTTAAATGTTTAGACAGGAATCATTTCTCTTTCTCATCCCCAGGCTAAACACCATCAGCTCTTTTACAAACAACACATTTTCATCAACTGAAAGCTTTCTACTCCAAATACATTTGCTTTTTTTTTTTTTTTTTAGAAATGTGCTTGTATATACTATCCTTATATACCAAACAGTAATTTAGACTTCTTACAACAGTTTTACACATAAAAAGGAAAAGGACAGAGAGGAAGGAAGGAAAGACAAAAATGTTCCCAGATATGGGTATTTAGTCGTTATTACAATATGCGGCTCATTTGTAGATGCAACAGAGATACGCATGTACTTCCTGCAGTGACTACTTCTGATTAATACTTACTAAATATTTACTGTTCACCTCACCCTGTTCTAATCTCGTTACGCATTTTTACCTAATCCTCACAGTAATCCTGTGAGATATATATGCTGTTTTAGTCATAACACAAGAGGAATATAACTAATTTATGCTGTAGTTTCATGATTTGCCCTAAATTTTAGTACCCAGATTGAGATTTGAACTTGGGTATTTTTAGCCACTAACCTAGATAAAATAAGTAGTTTTCTTGTGAACTAATTGCATTTTATATTTTTTATAAACTTATGATACTTAGAAAGTGATCTTTTAAAGAGGCTCATTTGTAATTTTGGAATTTCAGTTAATTAGAATTTTTTTCTGAACTAAATCCAACTAATAACTGATTTACTTGATGGGTAAAATGTGGATACTATGTGTCTCAAAAGGTTATTTTCTTTTTAAGTTTTATTTATTTTTATTGGAAAGGCAGATATACAGAGAAGGAAATACAGAGAGAAAGATCTTCCAAGCACTGGTTCATTCCCCATGCTGCTGCAATGGCCAGAGCTGAGCCAGCCTAAAGCCAGGTGCCTACCCCAGGTCTCCCGTGCAGGTGCAGGGTCCCAAAGCTTTGAGCCGTCCTCTACTGCTTTCCAGGCCATAATCAGGGAGCTGAATGGGAAGTGGAGTAGCCAGGATTAGAACCAGCACCCATATGTGATCCCTGTGCATGCTGATAAGGACTTTAGCTACTAGGCTACCATGCTGGGCCCTCAGAAGGTTATTTTAAAGAGTAATAGCTACATGTGTGCAGAACTAGTTGCTTACAGAATTGATAGAGCACTGCATAATAATTTGCAGGTTAGAATTTAGAACTAAACCACCTAAACTCATATCCAGGTTTTGTCATTTATTAGTTTCAATGTAAATAACTTAGGCAAATTTAATAAATCCTTTATGCCCTAATTTTCATATGAGTTTAAAATATTCATTATGGGGTCAGCATTGTGTTGCAGATAAAGCCACCACCTATGATACTGGCATCCCATACGGCTGTCAGTTGCAGTCCTGGCTGCGCCAGTTACAGTCCAGTCCCCCTGCGGGAAAGCCACAGAGGATGGGATGGCCCGAGTGCTTAGGCCCTTGCACCTACATGGAAGATCCAGAAGAAGCTCCAGACTTCTGGCTTTGGCCTGTGCTTGCTACTTAGTTCTACTAAGGCTACTTAGTTCTATTAATTCTTAGTTCTATTAGTTCTAATAATTTCCTATACATTGGCTTACTTGCAAAGTAAGCCAATGTATAGGAAATTATTTGTCTCTCTTTGCTACTCCCCTCCCCCATGTGTATATGTGTGTGTCTCTTACTCTGAAATTAAATGAATCTTTTTTGAACTTGTGCATATTTTCAAAGGCTTTTAAAACCAAATATTAAATCTATTCATTAAAATTGATTTATCATTCTATCCTACATTGCAGAAAAGAGAAGGGTGTTCTGAAACATGAATTGAGTCTCTTGTAGTTTCAACATTTTTCTAGCAGATTACCAGATTGCTTATCACTTTAAACAAGTGTAGTGTCCTAATTTACCTTTTTTTAAGTTAACTTAGGTAATTTAAATAAAATGGACAATACAGATTTAGGAGCACAGTGCTATTGCCCACCATACCCTCCCTCCTGCCCGTGTCCTGAAGTGAATGCACACAGGCTGTACTCCGTGAATTAGCTACCACACATCAGGGAGGATTTATGATATCTGCCTTTTGGGAGCCATTTTCTGCACTGAGCATAATGGTTTCCAGTTGTATCCGTATTATTGCCAAAGACGGATTTCATTCTTTTGTATAACTCAGCACTATTCCACAGTGCATATATACCACATTTTCTTTTTTTTTTAAGATATATTTATTTTTATTACAAAGTCAGATATGCAGAGAGGAGGAGAGACAGAGAGGAAGATCTTCCATCCGATGATTCACTCCCCAAGTCAGTTCAACAGCCAATGCTGAGCCGATCCAGAGCTAGGAGCCAGGAACTTCCTCCAGGTCTCCCTCACGGGTGCAGGAACCCAAGACTTCAGGCCATCCTCAACTGCTTTCCCAGGCCACAAGCAGGGAGCTAAGTGGGAAGTGGGGCTGCCGGGATTAGAACCTGTGTCCATATGGAATTCTGGCGCGTTCAAGGCGAGGACTTTAGCCGCTAAGGCCACTGTGCCAGGCCCCACCACGTTTTCTTTATTCAGTCATTCATTGATGGACACCTGAGTTGATTTCTTATCTTAATAATTGTGAATTGAACTGAAGTAAACATGGGTATCCAAATTACTCTGTTATACTGATTTCATTCCATTTGGGTAATTCCCAGTAGTACTAGTTTGGCTCTTCTGTAAGTATTGGAGCTACTGTGACCAACAAAAGATTGAAGAATTTCAGTTATATGGTTAAATGATTAACAATAGATTACCCAGGGTAATAGATGGTTGTGTTTTGAAGCTCATGTGTTTTTTTTCATTTTTAAATCTATGTTACATAATAGTCTCTATGAAAAGCAATGGACTTGAATATTAGATTTCTTTAACCTATAGTCAATTTGATACCAGTTAATATTCTTGAAATATTTTCCGTTGTGGTTGAATATCCTCACAGTAGAAGACAGAATGTGAAGGCTTGTAGGATTTTCTTTAAGTGATTAGTAGTAAATACTAGTGCTGTAGAACATTAGAGATGGTCTTGTTCCCTAACAAATCAAGTAATAATTTGGAATCTGAACTGTTGAACAGCCAAATTGATTTGATTTGGTTTTAAAAAATGATGCTATTGGGCAAACATTAGATTATCATCTAATTTTGTTGCAGGCTTGATGAAATCTCTTTTTTTCCCTCAAAGGCTTTTTTGTTTTTTAAGCATATAACTTATTTGAAAGGTAGAGTTACAGTGGAGGTGGGGTAAGAGAGTGATAGGGACAGGGAGAGAATACTTCTTGCTGGTTCACTCCTGGATTGGCCACAATGTCTAGGGCTGGGTCAGGTCAGAGGCAGGAGCCAGAAGATTTTTCCAAGTGTGCTATGTGGGTGCAGGGCTCAAACGCCATCTTTTCTCCAAGGTACATTAGCAAGCAGCTGAATTGAAAGTGGGACAACCAGGACTGGAACCTGCACCACCTGGGATGGTGATGCTGCAGGCAGCAGCTGAACTTTCTACATTACAAAGCCTGCCCATAATGTAATCATTTCTGTAGGCGGTAGAATATATTTTCGCAAATAGTCTTGCAATTCAAGTATTTCTTTTGCTTCAGTTAATGCTATTCATACGTTAGCTGTTAAGCATAATGAGATTTCATTCAGAAGACTTCAAGCTCATCTCAAAGCGTGTTCTTTATTCTTTGAAAATGCCTCTAGTGAAGTAGCAGTTGATCCTGTTAGATTATTTTAAACAACTTAAACATAATTTTTGTTTTTAGATTGTCCAAGGACTCCAGATACTCCAAATAGTGACCCTCGCTGTTCTACCAGCAATAATAGATTGATGGCCTTACAAAAACAATTGGATATAGAGCTTAAAGTAAAACAAGGTGCAGAAAACATGATACAGATGTATTCAAATGGATCTTCAAAAGTAAGTATAGTAGATGAAGTAAATATTGAGTCTATCCTATTTATTTGCAGATCCCCGTTCCCTAATTTGTAAATTCGTGTACTAACATTTCCTTGTAACCCCAGCATCCATACTATTGGCACTTTGGCAACAGTGGAAGTAGACATGTACAGAAGTGAAATATTTGAGTGGTCTCACATGCATTTTCAATAAGGGGATGCTCTGCCTTAAGCTCTTATACTATTGAAGAAACACTCTGAAATCCATTTGCTGTCATGGTTTTTGTATTTATGTGTTTGTCATTACTGATTTTGCTGTTTAAATACTATATTATAATTTCTGAGACCGTCTCAACCTCAAAACTTGAAACTATAGACCGAAATAAAAAGAGAGAGAGAGAGTAGAAACAGAAGCCAATAATATGGCGTAATGGGTAAAGCCTCCCTCTGCAAAGCTAACATCCCATATGGATGCCAGTTCAAGTCTTGGCTGTTCTGCTTCTGATCCAGCTTCTAGGACCTGGAAAAGCAGTGGAATATGGCCCAAGATACTGGGCCCTTGCACCCATATAGGAGACCTGGATAGAGCCTGAAGTCATCAGCCTGACCTAGCCCTAAATGCTGGAGCCAGTGGGAAAGGACCCAGCAGATGGAAGATCTCTCTCCCTCTCCACCTTGCCCTCCCCCTTTCCCTCTCTCTCTGTCTCTGTCTCCTTCCCTCCCTCCCTCTCTTCTTTCTTCTTTTCTCATGTAACTTTGCCTTAAAATGTTTAAGGATGGGAAACGAAAGGATTTTTAATATTAGTTACTCCTATCAAATCCTAGTTGATGAAATATTTTGCTGTATGAGTAAAAGAATTTTCTGAGTTTGCCATTTTTTTTTAATCACCACAGATTTTTGAGGAAGAACAAGTGAGAACTCAGAACTGTTTAACATCAGTACTTGGTCTTAACGATAAACAGCTAAATACTGAAATAGAAATAGACGAGACAGCTAAATAGTAATCTATAGCCATTTTGAGGTGTATGGAATCCGGTTAAATATAAACCAAAAATTGAAATGTCTATGAAGAAGTCACAGGATGTAGTTAAGAACCCGCATTTTCCTATTAACATATTGTTAATCAATACCATGTCAATTAATGCCATAAGGTTGTAGATGGTTGTTATTTTTACTGAGGATATTCATTACCATAAGAAGGGACAGTTGAAGGCCCCGTGTTGTAGCCTAGCAGCTAAAGTCCTCACCTTGGACACACCGGGATCCCATATAGGCTCCAGCTCTAATCCTGGCAGCCCCGCTTCCCATCCAACTCCCTACTTGTGGCCTGGGAAAGTAGTCAAGTATCCTGGCTCCTGGCTTCGAATCAGCTCAACTCTGGCCGTTGCGGCTGCCTGGGGCATGAATCAATGGACGGAAAATCTTCCTCTCAGTCACTCCTCATCTCAGTATATTTGACTTTCCAATGAAAACAAAATAAATAAATCTTTTTTTAAAAAAAAAAGACAGGACAGTTGAAGGACCAAAGTCTGTTTTTACAGATACTATTGTCTCTGAATGTCCCTGATGGTTATTTCTGTGTGAATTTAATCTTAATTTTTCATCTGTATACTTATCAGCTAAAAAGTGTGACTTGTATGAAAAATATAAACTAGAAGTATGTGAAATATTGATTTAATTTTTATTCATTAAGAATTTAATAGTTGAGCCCAACACGGTAGCCTAGCAGCTAAAGTCCTTGCCTTGCAAGCACAGGGATCCCATATCCACACTGGTTCTAATCCTGGTGGCCCTACTTCCCATCCAGCTCCCTACTTGTGGCCTGGGAAAGCAGTGGAGGATGGCCCAAAGGCTTGGGACTTTGCACCTGCGTGCGAGTCCTGGCAGAGGCTCCTGGCTTCAGATCGGCTCAGCTCTAGCCATTGCGGCTGCTTGGGGAGTGAGCCATCAGACAGAGTATCTTCTCTGTCTCTCCTACTTTCTGTATATGTGACTTTGCAATTAAAAAAATAAATAAATAAATAAATAAATCTTTTTTTTAAAAAAAGAGTTTAATAGTTAAATTTAATTGTTTAAAGGAATGTGTAACATGTATTTGTAGTATAATACTTGTTAATTCTAGCATTCATTTTCAGTGCAAGACACACCCTCACAATGGAACAAATAAAATATCTAAAAAGATATATTTTATTTGAAAAAAAGCCCTCCAAGTGACCCAAATAGGCCTTTCTTCCTTCCTCAAGCGTATAGCTTTAAGCAAATGAGACCTTCTGTGAGATACAACATAATTAAAAGACAAATTTTTCTAGTGCTTCAGACAGACTTTAGTTGGGAATTTCTCATAAGAGCTGTTGAAACACTTGTAACAGGGAAAATAAACATGTAGAACTGAACGTTCACAGCCATTTTCCTCAAAAAAGTAGAGGGGCTAGCGCAGTGGTGTAGCAAGCATGCTCTCTGCCTGTGGTGCTTGCGTTTTGTTTGGTTACTGCCATCTTACTTGGTTACCAGTTCATGTCCCATTACTCTACTTTCCATCCAGCTTCCTATCTGGGAGAGCACAGAGGATGGCTTCAATTCTCAGGCCACTGCAACCACATGGGAAAGAAACCCAGAAGAAGCTCCTGGCTCCTACCCTCAAATCAACTCAGCTCCCTCCTTTTTTTTTTCTCCCTTATACCCTCCCTCCTCTTATGAATCTGCCTTTGAAGAAAATAAATATTTAAAAGCAAAAAGAGAGGCCCCGGCACTGTGGCCTATCAGCTAAAGTCCTCGCCCTGAATGCACCGGGATCCCATATGGGCGCCAGTTCTAATCCCAGAGGCTCCACTTCCCATCCAGCTCCTTGCTTGTGGTCTGGGAAAGCAGTCGAGGACAGCCAAAGGCCTTGGGACCCTGCACCCACATGGAAGGACCTGGAGGAAATTCCTGGCTTCTGGCTTCAGATCGGCACAGCACCAGCTGTTGTGGTTACTTGTCATCAGACAAGATCAGGCACATTCAGGGTGGTATGGCCATAGTCGGGATTTAATCATCAGACAGAAGATATTTCTCTCTTTCTCTTCTCTGCATATATCTGACGTTGCAATAAAAATAAATAAATCTTAAAAAAAAAAAACGAAAAGAGAAAGTCTGGAGCAAGTTTAAGTAGATTTTTGTAAGAATGCAGGTTAAATAATTTCATCCTTCCTGTAACAACAGCAGAAGAAGAGGAGACGAGCTATTGATATCTGGATGTGAGAGTCAAAATGATCCTTGGACTGGTGACGTAGGCAGGTCGGTGAATGTTACTGCCCTTCACAGTGATGGGGAATTCCTAAGAGGAGCACATTTAGGGACAGGAATTAGTAATTCAGTTTGATGCAGAATACTGGTCTTCAGAACTCTGGTCATTGGATTTTATGTGAAAAAGTTATTATTTTTGTACATGTTTTAGCCAGATTTATAAATTTTAAATTATGTATTTAAAACTTGCCTGCAACATTGCTTAAAACTCACTAGGTTTCCCTCAAGGTTGCAATATAATCCAAACTCCATACTCTGACTCATAACTATACATGATTGACCCTGGCTGTGTTCCGATCTTATCTTCTAAAATATTTCATTCCCCTTTACACCCTAGCTACACTGTTCTCTTGTCTGACTAGGACCTAGCAGGCACACTGTTACCTCAGGCCTTTGCATTTACTCTTGTTGCCTAAATGTTTGTTGCTCAAGTATTTTTATGGCTTTCTCTCACTTAAAGTTCAATGTTGCTCAATACTGTTTAAAATAACAACCCCCTGCTCCCCTTAAGTCCATTTACTTTTGTTGCATCCTCTATGTGCAGTGATAATTTACACAATCAATTTCTTTATGTTTTCAATATTAGGTTCTAAATTCACTCAGGCAAGGATATTGTTTTATTGTTACTTTATCTTAAATGCTTAGGATAGTGCTTGCTTGCCTTGAGTTATTGTAGTACAAATGATAGAAGAGTGGCTATTTTGTACTGCCCATTCATTGTCACTTATTTTTCATTGGCCTATAATTTTCACATGTGATTTTTTACTTCATATCTCTTTGTACTGTAATAGTAATTGTTTTTAGTTTTTAAGGTGGAATCCCAGGCCCCACCTTATATCTGTTCAGGTCCCAGTGTTCTGCCTTTTTTATTTCCATTTTTATTTATTTGTTTGCTTAATTTAAGGATTTATTTCTTTTTATTGGGAAGTCAGATATACAGAAAAGAGGAAAGACAGATCTTCCATGTGGTGGTTCACTCCCCAAAAGGGCTGCCATGGCCGGAACTAAGCCGATCTGAAGCCAGGAGCCAGGAGCTTCCCTGGATCTGCCACATGAGTGCAGGATCCCGAGGATTTGAGCTGGCTTCAACTTTCCCAGGCCACAAGTAGAGAGGTGGAAGGGAAGTGGAATAACCATGATATAAACTGGCACCCCTATGGGATACCAGTGCATTCAAGGTAAGGATTTAGCCACCAGGCTACAGCTCCAGGCCCTGTTTGTTTATTTTAAAAGGCAGAGACAGAGATCTTCCATTTGCTATTTTATTCCTCACACAGTTACAATAGCCGTGACTGGACTGGGAGTTGAAATCAAGAATCTGGAACCCAATATATTATGGGCTTTATGACTAAGATGGTGACATAGACCCTTTTACATGTAAGATGTTTTTATTATCAGTACAAAATAAATAGAATGGAGTATGATAATTTTTGTTCCTTTAATTAAGTGTGATATCTCTTAGTACTTCATCTTTGGGAAATTGTGGCCCTAGGTAGCCGTATTGATTTTTTTGGAATAATCTCTGAGGGCTATATATTTAGATAATAAACCAAGCCATTTATTAAAATTTAGGTTTTTTTCCAGTATCTTGTCATAACACTCCACCATTTAAAATTTGCAAGCCTTTTCAAGCTTTTCTACCTGATTAAACATTCAAGTCGCCTAAATCCTAATCCTCCAATCATTTTTGTTTAAGGTTTGTTGAGATTGAATTGATACACAAAATTGTACATATTTAGTGTGTGCATATTGATGAATTTGGATAGAGTTATACATACCCACAATATCATCACTACATTAAAGATAATGTCTAGAAATTTCCTTGTGGGGTCACCATTGTAGCATGAAATAATTAATATATATTTTTATTTAAATCTTATTGAAATATTATAATCATTGTTTTTGTTACTATAAAAAAGGACATTGGCAATCATGCATGTGCAGAGGCATAGCCTGCTGTGCCGTGGCACTGGCCCTGCTGCTTTCCTCTTTCCCCAACACTTCTTAACTTGATGCTATTATTACCTGATTTCTCTGTGTGTGTTTTGGGAGTTGGGATAATTACAGTCTTTTACTACTAACATAATCCTCAGATAAGGAGATGGCATCACTGTGAATACTTCAGTTTCCTATGACTACTTTAAGATATTGGAACAAGCCTTAAATTCTTCTTGAGAAAGAGAAAGAAGAAACTACCATCTGTTGATTCACTCTCCCAAATGCTGCAGTAGTTGAGGCTTGAAGTATCCCAAAGCCCAGAACCCAGAACTCAATTCAGTCTCATAGGTGGGTTCAGCGACCCAATTACTTGAACCATCCCCCTGCCTGCCAGGATCTGAATTATCAGCAGGTAGTTGAAATCAGGAGCCAGAACCAGGCATTGAACCTGGACAAAACAATTTTATTAAACTACTAAACTACCTAATTGGTAGTTTAAATGCTGGGCCAAACACCTGTGCTTTTATTACAGTTTGGTAGTTATTTTATCCAAAGTGGAACTCACTGGGCTAAAATCAAGGTATTGACAGGACTGTGTTCTCTCTGTGGGGCGATAGGGAAGAATCTGTTTCCTTATCCTTTCCAGTTTCTGGAGGCTCTGCCCTTCCTAGACCTGTGCTCATGGCCTTCCACCTTTGTCTTCAAGCCAGCACTAGCAGGTCATTTTTCTCAAGTCACCCTGACCCCCTCTGTCTCTTCTTCATTAAGGACCCTTTTGATTATATTGGCTCTCCCTGAAAAGTCCAGGATCATCTTTGTAGTAGAAGATTGGATGATAATAACCTTAATTTCATCTACAACTTTAAAAACCTCTTTGCAAAGTAGGTTGGAGTATTAGCAAGGTTTCGAGAATTAGCATTTAAATGTGATCAGGTAGGCTTCGTAATATTTGGATGGACTGTTATTGAACATACAACAGATATATCTTATTTACATTCAGTGTTTCTACAACTACAAAAGTAACATTTCACTTAATTCAGAACTTTTCTTAAAGTCTTAAGAAATGACAGAAGTTTATTCACTAATACTTGTCCCCAGCTTTACTGATGCAGTCCAACTTTCTGACATTCAAGAGTTTCTAAGGATCTTTTTCATAATCATCAGTGTTTGAAAGTACTATTTGAAAAACTGATGCATTTGTGATGAGCGGTTTTAAAAGTCTGCCTACATTTGAGAGGTTTCCTGAAAACTTAACTGATAACAATGGGAGAGGGAAAAATTCTCTGTATTTTTTTCATTAAGGATTTATTTATTTTATTTGGAAAGGCAGATTTACAGAGAGAAAGATCCTCTACCCACTGGTCCACTCCCCAAGGGACTGCAACAGCCAGAACTGAGCTGTTATGAAAGTAGGAACTAGAAGTTTCTTCCAGGTCTCCCACATAGATGCAGAGTCCCAAGGATTTGGGCCTTTCTCTACTGCTTTCCCAGGCCAGAAGCAGGGAGGTGGAAGGGAAGTGAAGTAGCCAGTAAACAAACTGGCACCCATATGGGATCCTGGCACGTGTAAGCCAAGAAGGACTTCGGCCCCTAGGCTACTGTGCTAGGCGTGATTCTCTGCATTTTTATGCATGGTCACTGAGGTGTCCACCATACCCACTTTGACCATTACTGGTCACGGTAAAGGAAAAGATTCTATTTTGTGTAAAGCGCTGATGAAATACAAATGTGAATAATTTTTCTAAAAACAATGAAATTCAAATAGTCTATAGCTTTTATTGACAGATGAATGGGTGAAGAGTTTGTGGTTGATAGACACACACACATACAGAGAATAGTATCAGCCTTAAGAAAAAGGTGATACTACCATTGGTTACAGCATGGTTGGATTTAGAGAACTTTATGCTAAATGAAATAAGACAGGTAAACAACAACAACAAAAATGTACTCTGTGCTGTGATTTCAGTGTAGACTCTAAAAAAGAAATGCTGAGTAAGTAGAGTAGAAAGCAGACCTATAATTATTGTGGTAAGGAGGGAGTTCTAGATCACAGGTACAAATTTGTAGTTAGATGTGATAAGCAAGTCTAGAAATGTGCAGCACAGGCGCTGTAGTTAATGAAATGCATGCTGAAGATTTTGCTAAAAGTAAATTTTAGGTGCTCTTTATCCAAAAAGACATAAAACTGTTGACCATAGAAACTATGTATATATAAATTTGTTGTACTAATAAATTCATTATGTGTTTATATCAAAGCATCATTTGAGTACTTCAGTTGTGTGTCAGAAAATTTTTTTAAAAACAAAATAATAGAAAACAAACAAAAAATACAGTAGTAAGATTCACTTTCATCTTGAATAAAGGAGTTATTTCTCTTAATCTAATAAATTTTATGTATCTTTTTTTTCATAAATGTGTATCTATAAGACTATCTTAGAGTGTAACCTTTTCATTTACCGCTATGTCAGATGATCTCTTTGGAAGATATAAAAATGTTTCATTTGACCCTTCTGCTTACCTTTACAAACTTACTTTTAATAGGATCGAAAACTCCATGGTACAGCTCAGCAGCTGCTCCAGGACAGCAAGACCAAAATTGAAGTCATACGAATGCAGATTCTTCAGGCAATACAGACCAATGAATTGGCTTTTGATAATGGTGATGGATTACAAATAAATTGTTGTTCTACTTTGGGCATGTAATGCTTACTCTTAAGGAGAAAGGGAGCTGTGGTTCAGAGCTAACAGGGATTTATCCAGTCTAGCTGTCTTTAGATGTTTGTCTCTAAGGTTTCACTTTAATAGACTATCAAATGCTTATAATCATTTATTTTCTTTTAATCTGTTGGTTAAATGTAACACTATCTTGTTCTTAATTTTTTTTTAAATTCCAGAGGAATCTGAACAGTTAGTGGCTAAAGTAGGACTAGAAAATAGAACTATGCCTATGTATTTTTACGAGGATTGCTTCCATTAACGCTGCAGAAACTAAAATCCAAGGGTGCTCCAAGTCCTTGTATAAAACAGTGTACATCTTGTTTACATGTAACCTAGTCACCTCTTCGTATCACTTCTAGAATTATAATCCTTGATACAATGTAAATGCTATGGAAAAAGTCGTTATAATGTATTGTTTAGGAAGTAATGACAAGGAAAAATGTTTGTACATGTTCACTACAAATTACATTTTTCCTGAACAATTCAATTCCTAAATCCACAAATGTGAAACCTGCAGATACAGATAGCAGTTCAGTCTCGTGCAATTACAACATATCACAGTCTTCACTTCTGTCATCTTTATTTACATATCTGTAATTCAGATGTGTAATGGACTAAAACAGAAAGCTCTAATGTAGTATTACTTTAGAGTTTATTGATTTGTAGATTATTTTAATTACAGATGAATTCATTTCTTTTTTCATGATTTTTAATCACTGTGTGTGTTGATTTGTAGATTATTTTAATTACAGATGAATTCATTTCTTTTTTCATGATTTTTAATCACTGTGCATTAGCAAGTAAGATAAATGGTTCAATTCTTTTTTCTTCCAGCAAAACCTGTGATAAGTCCTCTTGAACTTCGAATGGAAGAATTAAGGCATCATTTCAGGATAGAGTTTGCTGTGGCAGAAGGTGCAAAGAATGTAATGAAATTACTTGGCTCAGGAAAAGTAACGGACAGAAAAGCACTTTCAGAAGTAATTTTAAATAAAAATTTTAAGTTTTACAATAACTACATTACTCAAAGAATGTGATGATTTAAGTGACAGAAATTGTCTTTTCTCCCCTGCAAGGCTCAAGCAAGATTTAATGAGTCAAGTCAGAAGCTGGACCTTTTGAAGTATTCATTAGAACAAAGATTAAATGAACTTCCTAAGAATCATCCCAAAAGCAGTATTATTATTGAGGAGCTTTCACTTGTTGCATCACCAACACTCAGTCCACGTCAAAGTATGATATCCACACAAAACCAGTATAGCACACTGTCCAAACCAGCTGCATTAACAGGTATGTACCACCGATCTTCTCTTTTCTTACACATTTATGACTACATCTGGCCCTTACTTAGTAATAGAAAAAAAGAGTGTGCAAAGATTCTTTAAATTATGGTAAAACATACATAACAACATTATTGCCTTTACCAATTTAAAAATAAGTAATTCCAAAGTTATTCATATATTTACTCTGTTATTACAACAAATAGCACTATCTAGTTCTGCAACATTTTCTTCACCCCAAAGGAGACTACTTCCCACTGAGCAGTTGCTCTCCTGCCCACTTTTTCCCACCCCGTAGCAATCAATGATGATTATTCTGGTTGTTATTATTTCAATTTAGACATTTATTATTTCATATAGATGAGTTGTTATATTTGGCCTTTTGTATCTGACTTTATTTACCTAATTACTGTTTACAAGGTTTTTCTGTGTTGTAGCCTTTATTTGATATGTTATTACTTCTTGTGGCTGCATAAGCAGTTTTTGCAGTGTGTACCACATTTGATTATCCATTAAAGTTACTGGTTCTTTCTACCTTTGCCTAATGGGAATAGTACTGCTATAATTTGTATGCAGCTTTTTGTTTCATCTTTAGGGAGACACATACCTACAAGTTATCTGCAAATTCATATGGTCACTGTATTTTTAGAGGAATCGTCAAACCTCCATAGCAGCTGCATGTTAACAACATTCCTAACAGTACTAGCAGGTTGAGTTTTTCTGTAGCCACACCAACATCTGTTCTACTCCCTCACCTTTTTTTCAATTACAGTTTTGCTACTAGGTTCCCTATTGAGAGTGACACAGTGAAGCATCCACCTATTTGTGAGGTTCTCAATATTTCTTTTTCCTGTTATGTGAATTCTTGTTTTCGTGTATTTTAGGACTGTTAGGTGTGTGTGTGTTGATAGTTGTTACATCTTCGTGATGAATTGACTGTCATATCTATATATGATGGACTTCTTTGTGTCCAGTGAGTTGTTTTTTTAAGTCTGTTTTGTCTGTTGTTAGTATAGCTACTCTCATCCTCTTTTGGCTATATTTTTAATAAATTCATTTTCTACAGTTCATTTTCAGTCTATAAAGGGCTTAGAACCTTCTATCAGTCCCTTTTAAGTAACGTATTATTGGATCATCTTTTTTCATCCATTCTCCCAATCTCTACCTTGAATAGCTTTATCCATTCATATCTAAGGTAATTAACTGGTAAGATAAAATTCTGTTACAAATTAAATTTCGTGGGTTTAGAGCATGGTCTCCATAAGACTGCCCACACTTAAACACAGACCACAAACACTTCTGAAGAACTAGCTACAGATTCCAGAATTCCTACTACTGCTGCAGTTTCAGTAGTTTGCTGAAACAACTTGCACAGCTCAGAAAAGATCTATAGTTGTGACTGCAGTTTTATTATGAAGATGGCAAAGAGGAACAAGCCAAAAGAAAGAAATAGAGGATGAGATCTGGAAGGCCCCTAGACATTAATTTTTTTTTATCCTTGGGTTGCTAAGTCACCCTCCTAACATGTCAGTGTCTATTGCCAACCGTAAGTTCATTTGAGCTTTGAGTATCTATTATCTTTGTTGGGCTTTGTTATATACATGTAATTGGATAATTGATTAGCATTGTTGTTAAATTCAGCTTTCAGACTCAGCACTTTTCTGAAGTTTAGGGAGTCAGGCTGATAGCATTTAGCACAAAGTTCCAACCCCCTAGTGAATTAATTAATCTTTTTGGTGTAGCCACCCCACACACTGTAAAATTATTTAGGGTCCTGCTATGAATAATCATACTGGCCTAAACAGGTGTGACCTGAGGAGTGCATCGCTAAAAACAAACATAATGTTGTCACTAAGGGACTTCCACAGGGTTAGTTGTTGCTTCCTAGAAAGTAGCTTCTTTTACAAACCAGCCAAATTCTTTATTATATAACAGAAGGGCTTGCTTTTGCCATTTTATTTGTTTTCCACAATTGATTTTTTTCCATGAGTTCTTCTAATACTATATTCTACAATGTCTGAATTTTTCACTCTTTTTAAAATTTCTTCCCTGTTTTCCTTTCATATATGAGCATGATATTAATTAATAAGCAGTTTTTAAGAGCAAATTTCAGTATACAGCTGAAATTACAGTCCTCTAAACTGCTTATTAGCACAAATACACAGCCTTTCCACATCCCCAGTATCAACAGCTTATACCTGAGTGATAACAGTTTTTATAATTACTGAGTCTATATTTACAAATCATTACTACCCAAAGTGCATCCCTCAGTTGGAAGTTTACTATGGTAATTGTATATTATATAGGTTTTGACACTATCAAATGCATCCACCATGACTGTATCATACAGAATAGTTTTATTGTGCTAAAAATATTCTATAATCTTATTACTCACCAATCCCTTTCCTTAACCTCTCAACCCCTATTATTTTGACTATTTCTGTAATTTTGTCTTTTCTAGAATGTCATATAGTTGGAATCAAATATATATTATGTAGCCTTTTGAAACAGGTTTGTTTCACTTAGTAATATGAATTTAAGTGTTTGTTGTGTCTTCTCATGGCTGACTAATTCATTTCCTTTTAGTATTGAATAATATTCCATTGTCTGGATATACTAGTTTATATACACACTGACTGACTAAAGGATGCCTTAGTTACTTATAAGATTTGATAGTTTCGAATAAAGCTGCTTTAAACATCCATTGTAGGTTCAAGTTATTTTTTAGTTGTTGACACTCATAATGACTTTTAACACCCTAAATTTAAAACAATCTTTATTGAAATGATGCCAGTGTAGCTACAGGAGTGTACAGAATGGCTCTACTCAGCTGAATCTACTACCCTTTTTTTGTAAAGATACATATTTTTTCTTTTTTCTTAAAGGCAGATTTTACAGAGAAAGAAGGAAAGAGAGAGGGAAGTAGAGGGAGAGAAAGAGACAGAGAGATATATCCCATCTGGTTCACTTTCCAAATGACTACAATGGCCAGAACTGAGCTGATCTAAAGCTGGGAGCCAAGAGCTTCTTCCATGTCTCCCAAAAGGATACGAAGTCCCAAGGACCTGGCAATCTTCTACTGCTTTCCCAGGCCAGAAACAAAGAGTTTGAAAGTAAAGCAGGCAAGACACAAACCAAGCATCCACATGGGTTGCTGATATCACAGGGGCAATTAGCCTACTGTGCCAGCCCCTCACCTCCTCTTTTATATTGTTGTCACAAATTATGTATTTATACCAAATATGCCCATTAAGAGCGTATTACTCCAAAGCAAACAAATAAAAAAAATGTGCTAACACTTGACTTTTTGGAAAACTTACATATGGCCAGTGGTGAAGCCACCACTTGCAGTTCCTGTATCCCATATGGGGCCATTTTGAGATCAGCTGCATTGTAGCTCCCTACATATGTGCCTGGGAAAGCAGCGGAGGATGGCCCAAGTTCTTTGACCCCCTGTACTCCTGTAGGAGTCTTGTAGCCCATCCTGGCCTGGCCAAGTCCCAGTCATGGTAGCCAGCTGGGGAGTAAATGGATGAAGGCTTCTTTTTTTCTGTGTCTCTCTCCAGCTTCTCTCCCTTACCTCCTTCCCCCCATTCCAAGGGCACTACCTTCTGCATTTTTAATTTCTTATCTTAGTACTGGATAATTTCAGTTAATATACCTTCACTGATACATTTTTCCCTGTTGCTACTCAGATCTATTGTTGAACCTCCTCAATTATTTGTTTGTTTTTATTGGAAAATCAGATATAGAAAGAGAAAGAGAGATAGAGAGGAAGATCTTCCATCTGCTGATTCACTCCCCAGGTGGCTACAATGGCCAGAGCTGAAGCAATCCAAAGCCAGGAGCCCAGAGGCTCTTCTGTATCTCCCACTCAGGTGTAGGGTACCAAGGTCTTGGGCCTCCATTGCTTTTCCAGGCCACAGGCAGGAAGCTGGATGGGAAGCAGGGCCGCCGGGAGTAGAATGGTGCCTAAATGGCATCCCTGTGCATGCAAGACAAGGACCTCAGCCACTAGGCCACCATGTTGGGCCCCAAGACAACATTCTTATTTCTTTTAGATCTCTGTCCATGATTACTTTTAGATATTTGAACTTATTTAAGAAAGTTGATATAAAATCTTTCTCTAGGGAGCTGGCATGGTCTACATATTAGTGCTGGCATCCCAGATGACCACTGGCTTGTGTCCTAGCTACTCCAGTTCTGATCATGCTCCTTGCTTATGGCCTGGAAAGTAGCAGATGGCCCAACTCCTTGAGCCCCTGCCAAGTGGGAGACTGTAATGAAGCTCCTGACTCCTAGCTTCAGATCAGCTCAGCTCTGGCCATTACGGCCATTTGGGGAATTAGCCAACAGTTGGAAGACCCCTCTCTCTCTAAAATCTGCCTTTGAAATAAAAATAAGTAAATCCAAAAATTTAAAAAAAAAAAAGACTTTATCCAATAGGACCCACTGTCTTGGGTTCCTCAGAGACAATTTTCCTTAATCTTGCTTTTTGGTGTGAACCTTTCAGCTTCTTGTTTCAGTGCTTCCTCCATCATTCAGTTACTATTTCTTTCTTTCTTTCTTTCTTTTTTTTTTTTAGGATTTCTAGCCCCATAAAGCATATAATTCTGTTCCCTAGGATTTCTTACTGGTACTATATGTTGGATAACATTTATTAAGTCACTTTTTATAATTATTTTGTCAAACTATATTCTGAGTCAACTGTGTTCCCCAAAGGGAAAACAAAGTGCCGGCTCATTATAGTTGGGCTGTGTCTGTGTACATTTGTCAGACATTCAGCAGTCACCCAAACAGTTTACAGCTAGTGCATAGTTTGGGAGTCGGCCAGAGGTGAGAGCATAGTGCCTTCTTAGGTCTCTTCTGAGGATGCCTCCTGCTTATACTTTTAGTTTCTCAGTAACTTGAAGAAGCATTAGAAGCCTCTTATTCTCTGGAACATTTCACCTGCTGGCTTTTCCTTTAGGGTCTTTCGGCTTGTCTTTTGTTAGCCTCAGATAATGTCCT